GTTTGACTGCTAGGAGAGTAAACCTATTCGTATGGTTCCTATTCAACTGTCTACAGCATTCCAATGCTTGAGAGGATTCATATGCTTTTCCAGTTCGTGAGATTGGGGAATTCAAGTGTGTGCAGTTCGGGAGTTGGTGAATTCGTGGGTTTGCAGTTCAGGAGATTGGTACTTGCAGTAGCTGTCTGTGCAGCTGAAAAAGGGGATTATCGCCTAAACGGTTTTTAACCTCTTTTGGGCAAAACGGTCCGTTACAAGATGGATTAAAAGCGCATTCCACCAGGTACCTTTCATCCTCCTGGGCACCAACAGCTAAAGTCTCCACAGAACTAATTTGCAGAGCAGCAACTTGGTCCTCAGTTAACACCTTCATCAGACATTACCAACTGGATGTTAGGGCTGGACAATGGGACAAATTTGGTAAAAGTGTCCTTTCAGCATCTAATTAATTTCCTTTTTTCTATGTGTGATATGCACCTCTAGATGTGCTAATACACTCGCATTGAGAAAATATTTGGAGTCTTGTGTATTTCTCCTCCCTTGATTTTGCTGGGGTATTACCCATTGTTGTGCTGCCATAGATATGGCCAGGAAAGAGGAAACATTTTTCATACTTACCGTAATTTTCTTTTCCTGGTCATAGGCCAAGGCAGCACAAAGATCCCACCCTTGGATATTGCTGGAAAACAAGACTGAGGGAGGAGGAGGGAGTACTTATACCCTTATTTTAATTAGTTCCTTTCTAATTAAGGATAGGGAGGAGCTATCCATTGTTGTGCTGTCAGGGCCTATGACCAGGAAAAGAAAATTATGGTAAGTATGAATACATTTTCCTCTCTATGTATATAAACCATGACAATAGGCATCCTTCCTTAATGGCAATTCTATGAATTTACTGTTTAATCGTCTGTAGTCCTTTTTATGTTCTGAGACCTTCTAGGGTTTTATTTTTTATCCAAATTAATATTGAGAACAGAATTCATCTTTGGTATGAACCTAGGCTTAATTCTTATGCAACAACTGCGTCAGAAAATTCTGCCTACTTTAAACAAGCGGTTAGCGGATTTATTATACAGGGAGTGCAGAATTATTAGGCAAATGAGTATTTTGACCACATCATCCTCTGTATGCATGTTGTCTTACTCCAAGCTGTATAGGCTCGAAAGCCTACTACCAATTAAGCATATTAGGTGATGTGCATCTCTGTAATGAGAAGGGGTGTGGTCTAATGACATCAACACCCTATATCAGGTGTGCATAATTATTAGGCAACTTCCTTTCCTTTGGCAAAATGGGTCAAAAGAAGGACTTGACAGGCTCAGAAAAGTCAAAAATAGTGAGATATCTTGCAGAGGGATGCAGCACTCTTAAAATTGCAAAGCTTCTGAAGCGTGATCATCGAACAATCAAGCGTTTCATTCAAAATAGTCAACAGGGTCGCAAGAAGCGTGTGGAAAAACCAAGGCGCAAAATAACTGCCCATGAACTGAGAAAAGTCAAGCGTGCAGCTGCCACGATGCCACTTGCCACCAGTTTGGCCATATTTCAGAGCTGCAACATCACTGAGTGCCCAAAAGCACAAGGTGTGCAATACTCAGAGACATGGCCAAGGTAAGAAAGGCTGAAAGACGACCACCACTGAACAAGACACACAAGCTGAAACGTCAAGACTGGGCCAAGAAATATCTCAAGACTGATTTTTCTAAGGTTTTATGGACTGATGAAATGAGAGTGAGTCTTGATGGGCCAGATGGATGGGCCCGTGGCTGGATTGGTAAAGGGCAGAGAGCTCCAGTCCGACTCAGGCGCCAGCAAGGTGGAGGTGGAGTACTGGTTTGGGCTGGTATCATCAAAGATGAGCTTGTGGGGCCTTTTCGGGTTGAGGATGGAGTCAAGCTCAACTCCCAGTCCTACTGCCAGTTCCTGGAAGACACCTTCTTCAAGCAGTGGTACAGGAAGAAGTCTGCATCCTTCAAGAAAAACATGATTTTCATGCAGAACAATGCTCCATCACACGCGTCCAAGTACTCCACAGCGTGGCTGGCAAGAAAGGGTATAAAAGAAGAAAATCTGATGACATGGCCTCCTTGTTCACCTGATCTGAACCCCATTGAGAACCTGTGGTCCATCATCAAATGTGAGATTTACAAGGAGGGAAAACAGTACACCTCTCTGAACAGTGTCTGGGAGGCTGTGGTTGCTGCTGCACGCAATGTTGATGGTGAACAGATCAAAACACTGACAGAATCCATGGATGGCAGGCTTTTGAGTGTCCTTGCAAAGAAAGGTGGCTATATTGGTCACTGATTTGTTTTTGTTTTGTTTTTGAATGTCAGAAATGTATATTTGTGAATGTTGAGATGTTATATTGGTTTCACTGGTAATAATAAATAATTGAAATGGGTATATATTTGTTTTTTGTTAAGTTGCCTAATAATTATGCACAGTAATAGTCACCTGCACACACAGATATCCCCCTAACATAGCTAAAACTAAAAACAAACTAAAACTACTTCCAAAAATATTCAGCTTTGATATTAATGAGTTTTTTGGGTTCATTGAGAACATGGTTGTTGTTCAATAATAAAATTAATCCTCAAAAATACAACTTGCCTAATAATTCTGCACTCCCTGTATATACTATTGTATTTCAATTTAGGGAATCTGACATTGATATGATATGGTAATTTAAGTGATTATTTATTGATGAAATAATGCAAATTTACTGGCTATCCATTCTTTGGATGTATGGTATTTAATATCTGCCCAGATTTGATTTTCTTAGCTGCTCGTCCAAAGCACAGTAATGGATAGACCATCTGTCAGGTGACTAATTCTGTACAGAGTTACTTCATTCTCTTTGGTTCTAAGAGCCGAATTAGCACATTATTAAAATAATAATAACATTTTAGTGATTAGATCAGCACTGGTTACTTATTTTTGTAAATTTTAGTTGACCTTGTTTGAACCATAACTAGTCAGTGTTGCTTTATTTCTGAAGTCATCTATTTTATAACTTTTATATCTATTTAACTGTCCAAATTCTATAAAGATTGGTGCAATGTATTTATTTAATTCCCTGGTTGTTAATTCGTTTACTGAAGATGGCAATAAATAAGGCCTTCATCTTTTACTTTATTTTCATGTTTAGCGAATGATTATTTAGTCTTTGTTCTAAATTGGAATAAATAGTGGTTATTGGGGATTATTTCTGCTCTCTAAGCCAGTTGACTCGTGTTCAGACCGACATGACCCAGAATAAACCTTGTTTGATCGACACATTTCTTTTACATGGTGGCATATTTCCATTTTACTCTTCACTGGTAATTATTGAGTAACCTGTAACTTACCGGGAAGGGGTCGCATCTGCTGGCAATTTCAATGAGGACGATGGCATAGCTGAAAAGAAGCCAATTAGAAATTAAACGCAAGTCTAGTGAGACGCCATTTATTGCTGCTTGCCTTGGCCCTGTCCTTGTGATTGGACACTGGCTTCGGCATTGTGACAGACCCTCTGTCCCTGAATTTTAAACTTTTGAACTCTTTGTTCGTCTAACAGTTCGTCTGGAAAAGATTTACATTTATTTTACTAATGGCTGTTCGAATAACAGCTACCGAACGACCGACCACCCAGACTGGGAGCGTGGCGCTTGTTAACCTCAATGCCCTTATTAACACCTCTAAACCACTAACATTCCTAACATTCTAAGTGATCAACTCAGTGGTCGGCGTTCGTATGCACGAACACGTGGCGGCGGCCATCTTGGGATACTAATGCGGCCAGCGGTGTTTTGTCGTCAAGTGTATGGAAGTAAAATCGGACACTGGACAGCATGAACACCGATGAGACTTCCACTCCTCGTTCATTTTGACAGTTATTGCACGAACGGATTGCCGTTCGTTAGATACAATGTACCGAACCAGTTATATTCAACGCTCATGTGCACAAACAGCCCCATTCTACTAATTTAATGGATTTTTACTATACGAAAGAGACCGACCAGACAGCCTTATCCTCTGGAACAATTTTAGGCATGAAAACATGTGTGCGGTCGGTCAAAAGAGACTTCCACCAAACTCTTGAACCTCTGAACCGATCTGGGTGATTTTTCAATATGTTGTTCCGCCAGATCAGGGCTATCAGGGGATATATGTGTTATGAGGTTCCTATATGTTTTCGGGGTGTTTGCAAAACTGGTTAAAAACTTGAATCTTTTGTTTGGAGATAATTGAGTTGATACAGTATATAACTCAATTATCTCCCAAACAGAGGGGAGGGGTTGTGTTTTCATTGGATTATGAATTTCATGTCCTGTGCCCCACAAGGTCCACCTGGGCGGTAACCTTGTGGGCAAATACTGTATAAAAGACCAGATGTGCCATTAAACCTTCAGTTCTTACTTTACCCTCAATCTAGAGTCTTGTCTCTTATTGGGGGAAACTGCTATAAAGAGCTTATCGACTTGGATGCCTGCTGGAATGCTGTAATTCCCCTCACCCTCTGGAGAAGGACGCCCGTTAGCGGTGGGAACCCCTCTACTCATCGGGGTAACCGCTATAGGCATTTACAACCAACCTAGGCCCATGATTCAAGGAGGAAGCTTTAAATAGGATCATGAACTAACTGCACCAGTTGTATGTCAAAAATTGATGCCATGACAGGACAAACAAATATAAAAAAGAGGCAGTTATTTTTCATTTCAGAAAGACGTGGGCTGAAATGGAAAGATGCTTATTGAATGACGAGAGGGTACCAAAACTGATCCTGGGCATCATTCCAGGAGCGTGGACTGGCTGACACAAGAGCGTCCATTCTGGTAAGTGATCCCACTTAATCCTACCTTTCCTTTCTTTATCAGATGGATTATTTTTCATGTAAACATATCATATAACTAGTTTCAATCATAATCTCTCTTTCTGTCCTAGAACCCTGACGTTTCTTTATTCGTTATAATAATGATATTAATGTACGTACAGGAATATAAAGACCAAAGTACCTACCTGAATACGTCAGCAGCTGGGGTTGGTGCCACACAGGGATTCTCATCCAGGATGACCTCTGGGGGACAATATATGTGTGCAGACTTTTTCTCTATTAATTCCTTGAGCTCATCTTTCCTGTAAACCAACAGGCCATAATCTGAAAGCAGATTGCATAATATAAGGATATCTCCTGTTTGTCTTGAGGATATAATTCTTATCCTGATTTGACCAATTAATGAATACCGGAAATTTTGCAATTCCATCGATCATCTATGACACAATTCCTTGAGGTCAACCTGCCATGGTAGATTTTATGATGATGCAGATAAGTCATTCCCCGAGCAATGTCTGTTGCGAATGATAATCTAGAAAATAAATGATTAAATTCAGAGGTTTTTAAGCTTTTGAGTGTCTCTGGAGATTTTTTTTTTATTCTCTAACATTTATTCAGTTCTTCTTATCAAACAATCAAGGCCTACAGCCTGCAGTCCTTCCACCATTCTTTGTAAATGTGGATTACTTCTCTAATACAACCTGTCTTTTTCTGCCTCAGTCTGGTGTAACAATCCGAGCGTCCCCATAGCTCTCCAAGAGAATCATATGAATATCCCATGAACCTCTACTAGTTCGGGTTTTATACCATTTGTAGCCATAGAACAATATGAAACGCACAAAACATACACATGGTGCAGATAAGCTAAATTAATAGAAATCATAACACTAATTAGCCAATCAGAAAAGATCGGTGAAGATATCCAATATGACTACTATGATCTCTCACTTTTTCAGTTTTGGTAACATTTCACACTGTAAAGCACACAGACTGGAGAAATAGGTATTTCTTTTTTCTTTTGATATTTTTAATTTTGGAAACAATGTTATCGAGGAGCCTAAAAAGTGAAAGAGACCAGGCTTCTATGGTGCAATATTGATAATTTATTATGTGTTAAAACTTTATACACAGAAGAAAAAAGAAGAAAACATGAAAGAGAAAGGAAAAAAAATAATAATAAAAAATACAAAATGCAGATAAATGGCCCCAGCCCCTATTTGATGTATATTAACAAGACAGAATTTGCAGAGGGTATGGGCCTATATATGAACAGCCTCAATGCTGCTCAGAGTTTGGTGTCAGCTGCTCAATTGGTGATTAGTCGTTTAATCTGTAAAGCAGCAAATCAAATGGTGTTCGGTATACACAGCCGTGAAACCTGTGATACTCCAACAAATAACTGTCCCGGTGTCGCAGATCCTCGGCACAGAGTTCACTTGGAACAATAGGAGATTAAGTTGGTGATCGTTCTGCTCCTACATGTTTTGTGAGTCTGCACTCACTTCTTGAGGGAGCCTAAATGATCACCGATACACCAACTCATATATGTATCCCTGTGGATGGGTCGCAAAATTCCGGTTCTTAAAAGGGAAAACCCCAATATCTAGAATTTAGTAATGCAGTGTTTCACTCTCAAGGATTTTGAGTGGGACACAATCTCTATGAAGTAATACACATGTGCACAATTTGTAACATTTCTAAAAGACCATATTTTAGGGGGAACTAAAGAACCAATATTGATAGCTATTTGGTCACTAATGCACATCGAGGAATACCTGTCCTGGGAAAAAACCTCATGTCTAGAGGAAAATATAAGGAACCTTGTCAAAACACAAAATAGAATACGCACTATAACAACAACCAATTTAAATTTTAAAAGCTTATAAAAGGGGGTAATGGTATTGTATATAAACTACATTAAAAGCAGCTCCCTGTTTTCTAAAACAAACATGTTTATTAATAAAAAGCCTGCAAAATTAGCAATTTGCATCTAATAGTCTATTTGTGACTAACTAGTTGCTAAAATGTGCAAGATTCCTAGGTAAATAGCCATATTAAAAAATATATATTAAAATAAAAAAATATTAAAATAAAAAATCTATATTTATATCTATTTATATATATATATCCTCACCAGTGTACATAAAGAATAAAAAATCTGAATTGCTGAATGTAAACATTATGATAAATCTTAATGTGGAGAAGAGAAAGAAAGAGAAGAAAATAGCAAAACTTTTATCGAGACTTTTGTCTTTGTCGAGACCTCCGTCGTACCTAGTTTAAAAATTCAATAGGACTCTCTGCATCTCAGTCTTTACTCTATCACCACCTCTTATAGCAGGTTGTATGGTGTCAAGTACTCTTACTGTCAGCCTGATGTGTCTTGGAGAAGTGAATAGGTACAACATGGTTTGTACGTTTTTTCTTAACAGCCCTTGGGTGTAAGCCTATTCGTGGCCACATGGACATTCCAAAAGATACGCTACATATGTGGTGTTAAAGTTTATAAAATGTTCCATTTCTTATGTTTTGTGTGAATTGTTGTGGTTTGTTGAAATTTTTTTATAATTCTTTCTTGGAATGCAAGGGCAGGTAAGACATGCTTTCCTACCAATAAATCTCCTTTTTTGGTATCATGGTTGGTATTTTTGTCAGAATATTCTTACGAATCATGCTTGGGGTCAGAATGTTCTTAATGGTCGTGTTCCGTTCCTTGGTTTTTCTCCACCTTTAATTTTCATAAAGATTATCCTGAGCTATAATTGGCCAGTGTTTGAGGACTATGTTTTTTATGTAGTTGGTAACAAAACACTGGCAGTGCTCTCTTATTTATGATCTTGTTATTGAGATTACTGTTGATCTTTCTTTCTGGACAAATGTTGTGAATCAAATCATTTCGGTCCATACTACTGCGGTTTTGTAATGTTTGAAGGTGTCTAAAATTATAGTGCTTCTGTACGAACCCTGATGTTAGGGTTTAGAATTCCTCTTTTAGATCTACTACATTTCCTTCTGATTCTGATATATTGGAGTGGAAGAAATGCCTTCTACCGAGAGACTATGGACCCTTTAAAAAACAAAACAAAAAAAAACTATGTGAACAGACTTGGTTTGTGGGATTTTATATTTGGTTCGGGAACCGAACAGTCACTCGAACTGTGGACCACTCGGGAGCTTGTTAAGCCTTGTCATCACCTCATAAAGATTCTGACCGCAGTGTTCTGATTGATCGTCTGGGTGGCAGCCGTTCGTATCGCCGAACACATGGTGGCGGCCATCTTGTTCTTGCAAATGTAGGCAGCAGTGTTTGGTCGTCGAGTGCATGGAACTGAAATCAGACACTCAAACTCCCTAACACCACTGAACTTCCATCATCGCCTGCTTTTGGTTCAGTACATCGTGGAAGGGCACTGTTTGTCTGGATGAGGGGAACAAGCGCCACGGTATGACTATTGACTGCATTAGGTAGTTTGTTTGTTTTTAAACTACCGAACTTGACCGACCGTTAGCACTGACTTAATGGAACTGTTTTTGGCATAGGACCATGTGCACGGTTGGTCAAATTATGAATTCCTTAGAAATCCCAAACCCCTGAACCGATCTGGGTGATTTTTGGATATGTTGGTCACCCAGATCAGGGTTATCAGGGGATGTAACCTTTGTGGGGTTTTGTTTGAGGGATACTTTTGGGGCGTTGTTAAATTGTATGAGTTTCCTGACTCAATTATCTCCAAGGCACAGAGGAGGAGTTTGAGACTTGTATACACTTTGTGACTGTGCTTCCATTAAACAGACTACTTCCCAGCATTAAGCCTTTGCTCATGTGTGGGGTGGGGATTGCTATACTGCTCTTTGGATTACTATATTTGCTATACTTTCTTGGAGGAGAGGTCTTCCCATTGGGAGATGGATCTAAGTGTTGGTCCAGGGTGGGAAGGGACGACGAGACCCCAGCCAAGCTGTGGTGTCTAAGGGGGCTACAGTGGTTATGGTGTCTGGTGCGGTGCTTATGGTACTCGGTGAGCACTAGGAAACGTGGCTCTTGGAGATATTTTTGATCCATCCAGGATGGTGTCTGTGGAGAAACCGACCTCGCCACTGGGCATTGGAGAAGACTGATTGCCCACCTCCTGCCATGTGACTATGGCCCCTGGGATGTATTGCCCTTTAAAGACATGATTTGGGCATAATGCTGGCCCTTTAAGAACATCCTGTGGAGTTACTGGGTGGCCACTGTTTCATGTATCAGAGGCACATGGTGAGAACAATGGATGAAGCACATGGTGAGAACAATGGATGGCGGCCATTTTAACTCACAGACACTGTTTGGACTTTTCTACACGGTGCCATCTCGCCGGTATTAGATGCACAGAGACATCGTGCAGTGGTTTTGGACTATACAACAGGGGACACATTATACAGTAATTGTTTTTCATATAGCCTGTATATGTTCTGCGGATCTGCATTAAACTGTATCTTCCAAACTACTGAACGGATCTGGGTGAATTTTGGATATGTGGTTCACCCAGATCCCCTGGTTCCCCTGGTTTTATGGGGTTATTGCATGTTTTGGGGTCCCTGTGATATGTTTTATAATACTGTATTTCTCTGCCTGTGATAATTAGATTAACCATTGTGTTCGGTAATCATATCACAGGCAGAGAGGAGGATTTTGTGTGGGAGTGTCTGTGTGTATTGTACGGATTGATTGGTTGTATTTCAAAACCCTGTGGGCAGTATTATGTTTGTGGATTGGGAATAAAAGAGGCTGTATGTGCCAGTACAGTCAGTTCTGCTTGACCTCAAAACGAAGTGTCGTCTCGTTATTGGGGGAATTGGATTGTATGCTGATTGCCAGGAGTGTAAGCTGATTGTATGCTTTTCCTGTTCAGCTGCTTAGAGCATTCAAATGCTTGAGAGCATTCGTATGCTTCTCCGGTTCGGTGGTTGTGGTGTCTGCTGCAGTGCTTGGAGTCCTCAGGAAGCGCTAGGTACCCAGTCGGGGTGCCAGGTGATCCGTTACAGTGCCCACTTCCCGTATCTGGAAATTCATTTCTATCAACCGATTTCCAGTGAATACTTGGCTGAAGAAGTCCTCTGCAAATTCTATCTTGTAAATGCACTATATAGGGGGGTGGGCCATTTATCTGCATTTTGTATTTTTTACTATTATTATATTATTATTTTTTATTATATTATATATTTTTTTACTTCTCTTTAATTTATTATGATTTTAGAGGTTTTTCTTCTGTGTATAAAGTTTTAATACTCAATAAATTAACAATATTGCACCATAAAAGCCTTGTCTCTGCACTTTTTAGGCTCCGTGTCTACATTGTTACATAAGGAAATGAAAAGGACATTGACTCTAACAAGCTGCAATTAGACTATCTGGCTGTTTGAAGATATTCTTGGACACTAGATGTCATGCCAAGGGTACATAATTCATTGTTGCATAATAGAATATTGCCATTTAATGTAATTTGTGTAGTGTATATATGAATTGGCCACTTGGTAGAGATCAGATGACAGA